TCGATGTATTTTTTATTTATAATATGATACATATCTTATTTTTATGATATTATTAATAAATAATTTATTTTAAAATTAAGTGAAAGAATAATTTGATAAAAAAAAAGACACACACACATATATATATGGTGAGGATCATTTTACACCAGTGTAATTTACACTTTGAATCTTGACCGTTGATTCCAATTTTATGTAAGGGATCTAATTTTTTAGTAACGTGAGTCATTGGATGCAAGTAGATCAATGATCAAGATTGAATGTAAGATTTCTAACTCTTACAAAGAATATCCTTGCCCTATATATATATATATAAAAAAATTTGCGTTTGGGCTGTCCTTGGCGAATGCAATCGCAAAGCCACAAGCACGGAAAAAATAAGGAACTTTCCTAAGCATTTCTTCCAATGCAAAGTTGACCTTCTTTCTACTCTATCCCTTCTAATTGCCTTCTTCGATTATTATCATTTGTCCAAATAGACAAATTACATATTATAACCCCTTAAATCCAATATAATCTCTCTAGAACTTTAAAGAAAAAAATGAAAAAAAAGGGTGGCGGTGGGGGAAACAGGTGGTAACTATATCTAACGAGCAACATTTTAGCAAGTATATCTTAGTGATTATATATTGGATCTAGACACTCTCATATGAAAAAAAAAGTGACATGATCATATAAAGATCATTATCATATAAATATGGATCAACGATAATAAAAAAAGAAAAAAAATGAAATAAATAATTATAAAATTATAATCGTTAATTGTGATCTTCACACATAATTATTTCATTTTTAATTTTTTTACAGGAGAGGATTTATTATATATCATATTCAAACTGGAAGATAGAGAGATAATACAATTACATCATATTTCAGGGAAAGTGTGAATGAGACAAAACTTCATTAATTAATTATAATAGGGGCAGATTATATTTACAAAATTTTTTGTTTACAAACTACACTAAGTACGACTGGTCATACTTTAATCATGTAGTGTACGACGACCGGTCGTACTTAGTGTAATTTGCAAAAAAAAAAGTTTGTAAACGGATGGTATTCCATTATAATAATACAGTACCGCATATACCTGATTAACTTGTGGTCCCATATTAATGGGTTCATAGTTGGAAACAAACCAGATGAGTAGTTTGGGAATGGCAAAGTCAGAACTATGTCAAGGAGAAAAGTGTTAATTTACTTTTACTTATTAAATTAGTGTATTTGCATGGGAGTGCGTTAATTTTTTCTTCTTCTTTTCTTAAAATAATGACATGTGTCATTGTTAATTATTTTTTTTAAAGAAAAAGCCGATAACTTGCTCATTACAAGAAATAATATAAAAATATTAATTTCACTTATAATTAATTTGATATACATAGCCATTAATACAAATTAAGAAGTGATCCATTTAAATTTAAAAGTTACAGGTACTACAATCATACATTTATTCATCTATATGAGATAAAAAAATATTTGAATTAATTTAAATTTTGAAAAGTGTGAGTAATTAACTCATTATTGTTCAAATAGGATATGTACGTTTTATCATTTAAATGAATTTTAACCATTTATATATGAAAATCGAATGGAATTTAAAATCAACTAATTATTTTTTTAATGAAATCAAAATTTCTTATATCACAGGAATAAAATTATTTTCTACAACCCAAAACAATTCGTTTTAAGAAAGATATTTCAATAAAATTCATGATACAAAGAGAAATATAAATTTTCAAAATTCCTTTTATTTTAATTTTAAATCCCAAAACAACATCATTTGCTGTTGCAACCCTTTTTTAATGTATACTTTTTTCTTTTTTCTTTTGTATACCTTAATGTATACTTTTTAAAAATCATTCTTGAAATCAAAAGTATAGCTAACTAGTGACCATACACAATTCATGAACTACCAAGAATTAAGGAAGAATCTCCATCGAAAGCGGAAAGTGTGGGGTTATTTGTATAAGTAGGTTTGCAATGACATGTGAGGCATTTATCATCATTCATCACCACAACTCATCACAAGCTCGTTCATGCGTGGACTTATAAGGCAGCAAGCGGCGCCGCAGCCTTTTCTCATGTTTTCATTATTCATAGCTACATGCAGAACAATTTTTTTTGTTTCAAAAAAAAAAAAAACTGTTCTTGTATATAAATAAAGGCTATCCAGAAATAATACATAGTTGTAATATTAAAATTATTTTTTTCCTTTTTATTATGTCAGCCGATATCTTTTTAAAGAAATAGTTTTTCAAACTACAATTATATACTACCCCTAATATATAATTATAATTATTTGCTGCAAATTTTTTCCCTTATTTTGCAATAAATAAACCGGTGGATAAAAAACTCATAAGTGCAAAGCATATTCCTTTCTTTAGATCAATTGTTTTTTACATTGTATTTTTATGGTTTTATTTCTTTATTAATTTTTTCAGTACAAATTTCTGTATTGATTTTGACTACTGAGTCTTATGGGATATATGAATCTAAGCACTTCATCGACAAAATGAATTTTTTTCCCCAATCTAATGTTTCATATAGACAAATTACTTTTTTTTTTTTTTCTATCTTAATTTAATATCATTTAAGGGGAAATAAGATGTAAGTAGAGAACCAAAAGTCGACATAAGTGGATTCATCTTCCTTCCCCGTAACCCGCATCAATTCCATTTCACTGATGAAAATGCTAAACAAAATATTTTTTTGGTTCAAACTTTCAGATATAGCAATTTGTTAATTTTTTACAAAAACAGCCAGCTGGGGGGTTGTTCAACTGGTAAAAATTTCTTGTTACCAACAGTTGCAGGCATTTGTAAGTACTTGTGAGTTCTTGTTAGCTAGCTGGTGAAGCACTCAGATATTGGAATGTAATTAATAGCCTCTTCTCCCCCAACTGTAATAAAATCCAATTTTCGACAACCTAGCAAGTATATATATTTTGCATTGCACTGATATTTTTAAATTAAGATAAAATAAAATAAAAAGATATTAAAGAGAATTTTTTTTGAAATTACAAAGAACATATATATAAGGGATTAATGTTTCTCATGTTCTAAGAGATAATTTTATCTCCTATACACACATAAAAGCGTGTTGACCCCATGTGGGGCAATGTTAAGAGAAAAAAAGAGAAAAAGAAAACATAGGTCAAACACATTTTTACGTGCGTGTATAAGATAAAATTATCTCCTACAACATGAGAAACACTAATCCCTATATATAATTAATATAACATCTAAAAAAAATATTTAAAGAGAAAACATGTTTAAGATTATAAAGAAAATATTTATAATATCTGTGATGTTTGTCAATCTCTTTTTCTCTGTTCAAGTATAATTTCCCTTCTTAATTTTGTTTCTCCTTTTCTTCCGTTTAAACGGTATTAAATAAATTAAATTAAAATGAAATTTTGATTTCATGTGATGCATACATGAAACTTTTTAATTTCTCGTTGGAGGAATAGCGAGACAGAAAAATAGACATCCCTGTACGAGAGACCACCTTATCTTTTTCCATATCAAGTTGAAATTCCAAAAAATAAATCGTGGTCTCTGGAATTAGAATATAAATTAAACTATACTTAGTGCTCAAAACTCCCATTCCTTAGGTAGTTCAACAAGAAAAAGGGGAGAAAGTTTGCTTTAGTTGGAGAAAAGAGCTTGAGAGAACCATAGTCTTAAGTTTAATACATATTCATTTTTTTTTACTAGATGCCAACCGGTGTCCGAAGTCCGAATGGATCCAATTAATTCAGTCTTGAATTTGAGTCTTTTCACCCTCTCTTGAAGTTGCGATTATCAGGAATAAAATTCACTATCCTTTGAGTAAGTCAAATCTGTTTAGTTAAATCGTCACTAGACCAACAATTCTTAAATAATACATATATTCATTTACGTAGTGAAAGAGTATGCTTTGACAAAATAGATATTTTATTTTCTTTAGGTTTTCTTCGTTGATTATTAAACTATAACGTGCGAGGTGATAAAGAGGATAATAAAAAACTGCTAGTACTGTACTACTAAATTATAAAGGAGTTGAGATGTATGGGCTTTTTAAGGTCTTGTAGTTGACAAATTCAAGATCTGATCCCAAGGTGTTCTCTTAGGATTTCGTATGGGGATCATATTCCATGGTAATAGATGATGTCACATTAACCCATATATTTAATCACCTGCATGTTCAGACTTGCAATATTTCTACACTTATAAAAACTCAAAATGAATCTTGTCAAATGAGAGTGCCCCCTTCAATTTTCAACAAACGGGTCCTTTTTCCACAGTAAATGACAATATTGCTCATGCGAGAGTCATGCTCTAATATGCATAGAAATAAAAGAGAAAACGAGAGGAAGCAGTTTAAGCTAGGAACCATGCACGATGTGCATGCCCTAGCGTTATATTAGCAATGAAAAGTTTGTACTATTATCACGAGTGTGTGGGGGCGAAGCACGACGGCATCTATCTATTAAACAAGTTGTTAGGCGGCTAGCTAAATTGTGCACTAGCTATATGAAAAGATCAAAAAGCCTATGTTATTTTATGCTAATAATGTCAAACAATTGAAGTGATGTGATGCTTTTGTAGATCACTTATTTTTTTTTTTTTAGTGTAGTGGCTAGGAGAGGAGATTTTATAAAACCTTGATTTGTTTCTTAATTACACAAAGGGCAATTAAAGGGGGCAAAGGCCTACAATCAAATTGAATGGTAATAATGGGTATTTTTGTCTTTTGGTAATTGAAGTGCTCTTATTATCAAATTGTAGGGTGCCCTCTCTGCCCTAGATTTGTTAATTTTAAAATAGAGGGTTAGAGACTAATTAATTTAATATGGGGATCATTAAGAAGCCAACTAAAGTCAAACCTTAGATGCGTCCTTATGTGTCTAAGATAAGAAACGTCTTTGGGACGATGGACTTGACTTTGGTGCCTCAAAAGTAGCATTTATATCAAAAAAGATAGGACAAAACAAGAGAATCTTCCATGCTCAAATCTTGTTCTCAATGGGTAGAGAAGAAAAACCCACAAAGATGGAAATTGATCTATCTTTGAAGATAGATTCTGATGATGAGCAAAAGGAAGAAGCAGCAAAAGTAGATGAGCGAATGAAAGAGGATGATGACAAGGAAGAAATGGCACGGATACCGGATAAGGAAGAAGTTCCTGAAGCCACAGCTGGTGAAATAGAAGATGATGCATCGGTGGTAGAAATATCTATGCAAGATAACACAAAAACAAGAGAGGTAAATTAATTTTCATTCCCCTCTCTCCCTCACCCTTGATTTGTAAGCACTCAATAAAATTTGTATTATTTCACCAACCCTTTTCTCTCTTCGATCTCATGTATATATTTTTATGAGTGCTTGTTTATGTATGCACTCATATATGTGCTACATGTTTAGAAGTCGTCGGTATGGTTTTCCTGCAGTTAAGTGTCTTACAAATGGAGATGGAGAGCATGAAAGAGGAAAACAAAGTGCTGAGGAAAGTTGTGGAACAAACAATGAAAGATTACTATGATTTGCAAATGAAATTTTCAGTCATTCAGGAAAACAATAAAAGAAAGGTAATTAAATCCAATTATATATTTTTTTTTTTTTTTGATAACAAAATCCAATTATATATTACTTCTTTATATATAGTCTTTCATTAATTTCCTATATATCATCCTTGTTTTTTTATATATAATAATATTTATATATATATATGGATCCCATTTAATTAGGATCATCAAATTCCTCTCTCACTTCAAGGCAATGCAACCACCAACGGTGAAGGACCATCTAGAATTCTTGAGATCTTTAACACAAAAAATCAAAGAGCTCAATCCCCACCAAACACTGATGATAGTATAAGCGAAAGTGAATTGGGTTTATCACTAAGGTTGCAAACAAGAAGCACAAGTCATCAAAAAGAAACGGAGGGAAATTATAAGGAAGACAAAAACAAAGAACAATTGACAAATTTTGCATCAGAGATGAACAAATTACAGCGGAGAGATTGCTTGCCACGTATTACTACACATGCTGCCTCCCCTCCTAATAGAAAAGCTAGGGTTTCGGTTAGAGCAAGATGTGAGGCCGCCACAGTGAGTTCAAAATCTATATTTATGTATAATATATATATGTATCTATTTAATTAGCTAGCTTTATGATTTGATTAACATTATGTGCTAATCTCAAGTTTTGTGATAGATGAATGATGGATGCCAATGGAGAAAATATGGACAGAAAATTGCAAAAGCAAATCCATGTCCACGAGCCTACTATCGTTGCACTGTAGCCCCAGGCTGCCCCGTTAGGAAACAGGTTATTCTCAATTTTTTGCACTCTTTATTGCATCTCTAGAATTTAAAAAAAAAAATTAATTTAAAGAATTCTTTACACATACTTAATTTAGCAACCAAATGTTGTTTGAAAGAACCTGTATAATTGACCCTTGTTTCTACTCTCACAAGTCAGGGAGTCTCGTGTACCTCGTGTATGTACCTGATTAATTTGTTTGTTTTATTATTATTATTATTCATTTATTTATGGGGTTTATGATCTTATGTGTGGCTATTAAATTTATATGTATAGGTGCAAAGATGCATTGATGACATGTCAATACTAATTACAACCTATGAAGGAACACATAATCATCCACTCCCTGTGGGTGCAACTGCTATGGCTTCTTCAGCAGCAGCTTCCTATATGTTTTTAGAGTCAAGCAATCCTATTTCAGATAACACCTCTAGTTTTAACCAAGCATCACTTCCTTACAATAGCTTCCACTCATTAAACCCACCTTCCAATATTAGAAGCATAAACCCTAATGATCCATCCCAAGGGATTGTTCTTGATCTCACTAATAATCTCATGAGTGGTAGTAGCTCCTCCAATGCCACAACTGAGCCTCGTTTTTATTGGATGCCAAACAAATACCAGAGCAATGCTATTGCTATGAACAATTTTCACAACCCTAGACCAGTGGAACAATATCATGATAGGATTTGGAAAGGAGAAGAAGGTAAGCCTGCACTAGATGACAATGTTTCCACCATTGCCTCAGACCCTAATTTTAGGGTTGCTGTTGCAGCGGCAAAAGCATCAATGGTGAATAAAGAGAGCCACGCTACTCATCCTATTATAGGGACTTCTTTTGGTCCTAGGAGTGGGCAAAATGGTAGCTCTAGTAGTAAAAATTGGATCATAGAATCTCTCTCAACAAAAGGTAAGCCAACTTGATTTTTCACCTTCAAAGAAATTGAGAATAAGTTTGTTTGAAGATAGAAAAATCAATGTTATACAACAATATTCAAGTGACTTCTGATCAAGCATTTTAGATTTACACATTTTCATATAAATAATCTTACTGAGGGGTTTCTTTGTTTTCCTTGTAATATTTGTTTATTGTTTTGTTTTGTTTTTATTGCGGTTGAGTGTTGTGAAGAGAAGTTAATTTGTGTGATTAATTAGCTGAATGGTATACAAGTCAAGGACTTTTAACTAATGCAGTTAGCCTAGACTCCATTATTGAAGTATTGCAAAGCCTTTTTTAACTGTGTTTTCTAGTCATGCAATGTACTCATGTAGAATCAAGTCGATGGTCAAGGAAAATATGATTCTTGTAAATCAGTTTCTATTTTTGGGAAATGTTTCTTCATACAAAATTAAATATTTCATTATGTGCTTGATTTAATTGCATTACTCGGTCAAGTGCAAGAGTCCATTGATGTGCATGGGTTGATATATATATATATATATATATATATATATATATGGGTTTATATTTTCTTAAGCAGCATAAGAAAAAAAAATTCCAAGAAAAAGTGAAAAGCGGCCGATCCTACCGCTTTTTTTAAAAAGAAAAAGAATTAGCACATATATCAATGGTCGGATAGGAAAATTATTCATTTTTCCTGCAGTATAAGAAAAAAAAATTCCAAGAAAGAGTGAAAAGCGGCCGATCCTACAATTTTTTTTAAAAAGAAAAAGAATTAGCACATATATCAATGGCCGGATAGGAAAATTGTTCATTTTTCCTGCAGCATAAGAAAAAAAATTCCAAGAAAGAGTGAAAAGCGGCCGATCCTACAGTTTTTTTAAAAAGAAAAAGAATTAGCACATATATCAATGGCCAGATAGGAAAATTGTTCATTTTTCCTGCATAAAAATATTTCTATATATATAGAGAGAGAGAGAGATGGGGGAGCACACTAGAGGAGAAAAAAATGTCTTTAAAATGGAAAACATGAATTTTTTGTTGTTGTAGATACAAACCCTTGTCTGAAGTTCAAATGCCCCCCATTAATTTGAGCCTTTTCATCCTCCTAAAAAATTGAACCCATTATACTTTAAGCAAGTCAAATCCCAAAATTTAGTTGGATCGTCACTAATTCAACAACTCTTGTATTAGAAAACATAATTTAAGTCAACATCAACTATACATTTATCTCAAATTAATTGGGATTGGTGGTTGATGAACCCAAATAAAAGATAAGAAAAAGTTGAAAAAAGATAAAAAATAAAAATAAAATAGTAATAATATATATATATATATATATATATATATATATATATATATAAGTAATAAAAGAAGGGACAAAGAAGAAGAGGGGAAATGAAGAGGAAAATGACTAAAAAAGGGATCATCTGAAACATAAGAATAACAACGGGTCTAACCCTCTACCATGCTTATAGCTCTTCTCTATTCCTTTCTAAGGCACACCGTTCGCCAATCTATATCTCACTCCATTAAGTCTTATTTTACTACCTTCCCCAATTAAGTTTCGGTTTACCTCTACCTTTCTTTGTGTTCAGCTCTTGGTAACAAATTTTTGTTCTTACGGGAACATCCAGGGCCTTCTCATTACGTGCCCAAATCACCTCAATCTATGTTCTCTCATCTTTTCAGCCACCGGTAGTACTCCTACCTTTCGTGGAATATCTTTATTTCTTATCTTATCCATCCTTGTATAACCACACATCCACCTTAACATCCTCATCTCTGCTACTCCCATTTTATGCTCATGTTGCCTATGTGCTAGCCAACATTCAGCTCCATATAGTATTGCAGGCTTTACTGCTGTTCTATATAATTCTCCTTTTAACTTAAGGGGGATTTTGCGGTCACACAAAAATCCAGATGCACTACGCCATTTCATCTACTCTGCTCTGATTCTATGATTTACATCTTCATCAATCTCTCCACTTTTTTGCAAAATGGATCCTAGGTATCTAAAAGAATCTTTCTTAGGTACCTCTTGACCACTTAAATGCACAGTATCTCGGTCTACATCTTTTACCAGAGAAAACTCACACTTCAAATACTCAATCTTGCTCCGATTTATCCTGAATCCTTTAGATTCCACCATGCTTCTCCACAATTCAAGTTTTCTATTAACACCTTTTTTGTTCTCATCAATAAGCACAGTATCATCTGCAAAAAGCATACACCATGACACTTCCTCTTGAATATCTTTTGTTAGTTCATTCATAACTAAGGCAAGGGCTTAGAGCCGAACCTTGGTGTACACTTACCGTGATAGAAAAATAACTTGATATTCCGTTACAAGCTTTCACACATGTAGTAGCTCTATCATACATATCCTTGATTGTCTTTTATACTTTGATGATACTCTTTTCTTCTTAAGAACCCACCATAAAACTTTCCTTGGAATCCTATCATATGCTTTCTTAAGATCTATATGAACATCATATGTAAGTCCTTCTTCTTTTCTCGATATCTTTCCATTAATTGTCACATCAAGAAAATGGCTTCCATGGTACATCTTCCTGGCATAAATCCAAATTGATTTACAGAAACTTTGGTATCTCTCCTCAAGTGATGTTCAATAACTCTCTCCCACAACTTCATAGTATGGCTCATTAGCTTAATATCTCTATAGTTAGAACAATTCTGTATATCTCCCTTGTTTTTGTAAATAGGCAATATCATACTTTTCCTCCATGCATCAGGCATCTTATTTGTCTGAAGAATCTTATTGAAAAGATTGGTCAACCATTTTATTGCCACATCCCCCAGACCTCTCCACACTTCAATAGGGACACCATCAGGTCCCAAGGCTTTATTAGTCTTCATCCTCTTTAAAGCCCTCTTAACTTCATATGTATTAAATCTGTGCACAAATCTTCTACTCAAATCATCATAGGCGTTCTCCAAGTCAACATCGCTTATATCGCCATTCGCATTAAATAGCTTGTTGAAGTAGTTCATCCATCTTTCATTTACATCTTTATCTCTCATCAAAAGTTTTTGATTTTCATCGTTGATGCATCTAACTTGGGTGAGGTCTTTACTTTTTTTATCCCTTATTTTTGCAAGATATATATACCTTTTTCACCATCCTTGCTCACAAGATTTTTATACAAATCGACGAAAACCTTGCCTCTAGCTTCCCGCACTGCTTTCTTTGCATTTTTTCTCGTCAATATAAACTTTTGCAAGTTCTCTTCGTTGAGGGCTTTTATGCAAAGCTCTAAAGCATCTTTAATATCATGTTTTGACTATCATCAATCATCTTTAATTTTGACTCACTTACCTCTTAGTATTATCAACCAACTCACTTACCTATTTAGTCTTTACTATCATCAATCATCTTTTCCAAAACTTCAAGAGTTTAGTGAGGCCATTGTCACTGGAAAAAGTTTTGACTCGCTTTAATATCATGTTCACTTTCTTTTTTAATTTTTCCGTCAGTTCAAGAGTTTAAGTGAGGCCATTGTCACTGGAAAAAGTTTTGACTCACTTTAATATCATGTTCACTTTTTTTTAAAAAAAAAATTCGTCAGTTCATCGATTAATCTGGTTGAGTCGGAAAAGTATAGAAACATACAACACAATTTCTAAATTGGGTAAAGTGTGTGTTTTATAGGATTTTATATTTATTTTTTATATAACATTGCATCAAACATTAATGAAAATAGTCATGTCTTTTTTTTTTTAGAAATATTCCATCGGTTCATCGCTTCGCGATTAGTCCGATTCGGGGCGGGTCCAGGATTAAGGCTTTAAACCCCTCCCAAAGGTGGTACTGAGGAGGTTCGAACACATGCCCTCACCCCACCTGCTCAGCTCTCATGTGCCAACTGAGCTACCATCATTTGGTAGTCATGTCTTTTAAGTTTCAAGACTAAAGTGCATTTCAACATGTTAGAGGTGATGAATTGAACTTTCCTTATAAGTAAATTTAGTGTCCTTTTTTTCTTATGTTACGGGAATTTCTGGCACCATTTTTTAACTATGTACTTTCGGAAGTACATAATTATAATATTAAAGTTATTTTTTTAACTATGTATTCCCGAGAGTACATAGTTAAAAATCTGTTGTTGATTTTCTTTTAATTATATACTTCCAAGAGTACATAATTAAAAAACGATTGGAGGAATTGGGAAACGCATTTTCCATAAATTTAATACAAAAAAGTGAAAAAAAGTTACGTAATTTAAGCGTGCCAATTTTCATTAATGTTTAATGAAAAATTCTCTAGAGGGAATGACTAAAATGTACACTTTAAAAAACTTAAAGATCACATTACACATGTTTAAATGTTGGGAATTACAGATCACATGACTATAATTAGACTTTTTTAAATTAGACTTTTCCCTTAATTAATTATTACTTATCTTTGTCCCAATTGTTTTTTTGTTTTTGGAAACTGTCCCAATTGTTATTTTTTTGGTTATTTAGCCTCCAAACCATTGAGATTATTAAATTATTTAAACTCAACTTTATTTGTCATTTAAGTAGCTGTTAATTGGCTATTTCATTGTTAATATCGAGTCAATGAAAATAATGTTTTAAAAACTACAAATGACAATTGACAATTGACAAAAGAGAGATGTTAAATTCGAATATCACAATTTCGTTATTTCTTTGTACAAGTCTAGTATTCCAGTGTTGTTCTCTTTTATTTAACTCTGTCAAAGCATTGCAATAATATTCTGGTGGTATTTTCTTTTTTAAGATATATGACGACAATTGAGATAATTCATAGCTTCCGCATCAATGATGATTAAAGAGAAAAAAGAACTCACATGACACGCCTTAAATAAAATCAGTATTTAATTTTCTTCGATCCCAATGCAAAGCATTTTAAAACTGGTCGTTCTTTGAGCACATGCCAGAATTTCTAATTATGTAACCGCATTGCATGGCATGACAATGTTGAAGTGGTGTAGAAGTAAGAAAATTATATATCATCAAATAATAATAGCTCAGTTTA